CATATCTGCCTTTGGAGGTTTCTTTGGTGTAGTGATGAAAAGTTTTCTAGCAATGAGGGAACAGCAAGGTATGTCAAGATAGCTTTCCTAAATGTGGGTGCCCTCCAGTTATGTAGAGTTCAGCTCCCAGGATTCCCAGTTATGATGGCCATTCCTGAGAATTCTAAGAGCTAAAGTTCATGCATCTAGAAGATGTCTAGGTTTGGAAAAGGCCACAATAGGTTTCACATGAGAACCTTCACTATTACTTTAGACTTTAACATGCTTGAGTATTACATTATATATTTTAAGTTGTTTAGAATAGTATTTATAGTATTTATACCTGAGTATATGTTACAGTAAAAGTATCTGGTATTTCCAAGACCACTAAGCTATTAATATGGCAGTATCAGTATAATTACTTGGAGTCAGACAAATAGTCACAATTAATTTCCTCAGAATGATATCAGCATGGAAAATCTTGAGTTTCTATTGTACCAAATTGCTTGAGGGCTAAAAATTAACCGTGTGTGTGTGTGTGTGTGTGTGTGTGTGTGTGTAAGTTAGCAACAATCAACAATAGAAAGTAGTATGTCCATAAATCACTTTGCATTCAATTGTATTTGAAAAAAGAAAAGATCTTGTTGTGATATGCCACATACCTACAGTGCATTAGTGTCCAAATTACTAGAACTCTAAAGTTAATCAGCTTCAAATCTCTATCCATTCTTTGTGATGTGAGCTTGCTGCATGGGGTTTCAAAAAATGACTTCCCAAAGAGAACCAGGAAGTCTCAGGACTGCTGTTTATACAGTGTCTGACACAAGCAAATCTTAGCTGTTAATCCTTGTAATTTTTCAGTCTTCCTTGTTTCATTGAAAACAAGATTCAACAAACAAAAAAAGAGGCAGTGGAAATAATCTACAATATAATGCAGAAATAATAGCTTATCAGGTGGTCTGCAGTTGTAAAAATTAATATTCAATTTAGCAGAGAATTTTAAGTGATCTGAAATAATCTTCAATATTATAACTACAGTACCACAGGCACAATTATGGAAATAAAGTCCATTGAAACTGTGTAACTTACTTCAAAGAAAATACACACTGGATTGCATGGCAAGATTTCAGTCCTATAAAAAAGCAAAGAGAGCCATGCTGGCCAATGAGAGAAATTCACATCTACATTCCAACACTTCCGCTGCTACTAAATACTTTTGAGGCATTTCAGTTGGTACTGTTCACATGTGAATGTTGGAGAAAGCTAAACTGATGGATTGATAGATTGATTAAGTGCCATCAAGTTGGTGTCAAATCTTAGCAATCACATGTTTTTCTTCAGAATGATCTGTCTTCAACTTGGCCTTTAGGTCTTTTGGTAGTGCATTCATTGCTGTTGTAATTGAATTCATCCATCTTGCCACTGGCTAGTCTTCTTATTCCTTCAACATTTCCAAACATTATGGACTTCTCAAGGGAACTGGGTCTCCACATTATATGTCCAAAATATGATAATCAGAGCCATCTATCAGGGCCCTGGAAGCGTGCCTTCTCTGTCGCAGCAGTGCCTGCCTTCTGGAATGAGGATCCCCCCTGAGGCTTCCAACCTGATGGAGTTCCAGACCTGGCTTTTCTCCCAGGCTTTGGGCTAGGCACACTTGTTGAGTGTATGATCTGTCATTGTTGACTGGATTCACCATCTTGCTTATTGTTTATTGTTATATGTTTGTTGTGGGGGGGTTTGTTTACACTTTGTTTTTTGGGTTTTTTTTAATGCTGTGAGCTACCCAGAGTCAATTGGATCAGGTGGTGTTTAAGTCAAAATAATAATCATAATAATGATAATAATTTTAATATTTCTTGGAATAGACACATCATGGCATTTGAATATCCTTCCCAAAGCCTGCATTGCAGCCATTCCAAATGCTAGTCTGCAGTATATTTCTTGTCTGCTGGATCCTTTGCTGTTGCTGATCAATCCTAAAGGTCAGAAGTTATCTACCACTTCAATGTCTTCGTTATCAGTCACTGTACCTGCTGTCATTAGTTTTGTCTTTTTATATTTAATTATAGTCCCCTTTTTCACTGTGCTCTTTGACTTTAATTTCTAGAGCTTGTAGATCATCTGCATTATATTTAATTGGGACAAAGTTTCATCAAACATTATGGAATGTGTTCTGATCCTCAGCTGACATGCCTGTCTAAATGGATATAATCATGCTCCCACATTGTTTCACATGGTATTCCATGAATGAGGATGACCATTAAAGATACTGAATCTTCTGCTGTGCCCACAGACATTTCCCTTAGCATCCTTCTTTGCCTGAGTTTTGTGTGTTTCAACTGATTATACCAAATGGAAGCATGTAGCTGAGCTTGGCTGATAAACCTAGCCAGGATCCAACTTGGTACTGAGATGCAAGACCATCAGGACATTTCAGGGACGTAGGGTAGATTGGGAAGCTGAAATCACTTCCCAGAAGAAAGCCATTGCAAAGTACTTACATATTGCTGCCATAAAAATTGCATGTATGTGTTCATGTGGTCACCAGGAGTTGAGCTTGACTCAAGGAATCAAGCTCAACTTCCACATCAAATGCCATGATGTGTCTATTCCAAGAAATATTAAAATTATTATCATTATCATGATTATTATTTTGACTTTTACCTTTTCAGTGTTACCAGTTTGCTTTGGGTAAAATAAGTGGTAGAACAAAAAATGACTTCAAATGAGTAGTTTGGGGGTTTGGAGTCTGACTCCCTTGTTCCTTCTTCAGATATTTGAGTGAGGCCTTTTCTTTTCATTTCATTAGATTGGTTTCTCGGTGATGCATGTTTTGTGACAGGCAGATTTTTGTAAATAGGTAAGTTACCCCAGATATCCATGTGACAACTATCTTGTATGAGCACTCACCCTCAATATTTTAAATATATCTTCAAAAAGTATTTTGGGTCCCTAATACATTTGGTGGGAGGGATCAACTTTTTCCGTTGGGCAGAAATTCTTATCTGACCTTGCGTATGCTTTCCTTGGCCTGGGGCCTTCAGGAATTCTAATAGCTTTGGCCCATTTACCAGGAAGAGTTTAAATTATTTGATAATTGCAAATTAAAAATAGGGGAAGCTGTTTTTAAAACTTTTGCAGAATTAAAATATGAGTTTGACTATATTGTCAACAGTTCTTCAGGGCAGTATAATTATCTTAAGCATTTGCTGTTTAGTTTATTTGATCCAGGTACAATTGCTGCTTCTGAAGCTCCACAGTGGTTAGAGGTTCTCGAAGAATTGTAAGTGGCTCCTCAACCAGTATTCCTTCTTTATAGGAAATTGAATGAATGTTGAGATTGATATAAGTTATTTACGTGATAACTTACAAGCTTGAATGTCCTGTTCTAGTCATCAATGGAGGGTCATATTAGACAATATGGAATTGATTTCCTATTATCTTAAAATGAGAACAAGTTGTAAGGGGTGGTTACAATCATGCTGTTGCTGGATATGGAACATTAATCCATTATCATTTAATTTTGTTCTATTACTGTTGTTTTGGGCTGACATAGACAGGATTGTTAATTAATTTTATTTATTATTAAACTTGTATGCCACCCATCTCCCCCAACAGGTGACTCTGGGCA